TAATCCCACTAACCCATTATTTTCCAATACTGAATTGACACCCACCACAGCCACCCAAAAAACCCAATATGATCTACTAAAATGGTGTTTTTGTGAGCTTCAGGTTGTTAACACAACAGGATGCACAACAATGGATCTCAAAAAACACATTCAAATGCATGAAAACTAGTGATGGTAAATTTGTTTCTACTGAATCGAGTTTGAATGAGTCACTCACCAAAGTGAATCGGGTTTTTTTGAGTCATTTGAGTCACTGAGTCAGTTGACCAGAGAGTGCAAAAAATTTACACTCAAACTTAATTTGTTTCTCTTTTCATGTATATCCTACTGTTAAGATGAGTGATTGAAAAAGAAAAACAACAATTTTTATGGAGCAAAAAAGAAAAAAAATTTCTAAAGGGAACATTTATTTTATTTCTTTTTATTTTATTTTATTAGTATTTTCCTCAAATATGTCAAATATATATTTTCTCATCTAAATGTCCACTGAGCTGTGAGCCAGGGAACCGTAATGCGCCTTAACATTGGTTGCCAACCAAGAAGAAGAAGCTGTGAGCCAGGAGGGAGGGGGCGAGTGAGTGAGTGATTCGTTGACGCTATGATTCAGCACAGGAGGGAGGGGGTTAGTGAGTCCTGAGTGATTCGCTTACGCTACAATTCAGCACAGGAAGGAGGGGGTGAGCAGCTAAAATGTGCTGTTAGCATGTTAGCAGAGCGATGCTACTGTGAACACAGGAGCTATAGGGCTTTGGAGCGGACGTCACGCCGCAATGTATTGTGGGAGTGCGGCGCCATTTTCCGGGTCCACAAATCAAAACAGACACACTGTGTTGGAACGACGATGACAAGAAACATGCTTAAAAGCAGCTCAAAAGAAAACGGACGGTATAGAGACCGATTGCGTCCAGAGGTGAAGCAGCGGTACTTGAAAAAAATAGAGTGCATCGCAGATGTGGACCCATATGGAATACAGCAGTGGAGAAAAGACCCAGGCGACTTACCACCACTGTCCTTACCCGATATCTTCACGCATCTTGTTAACCCTAACTCTAACCCTCACGTTCGGATTTCAGAGTGCCCCATGTGTAACGTTGGCACCCAGTCTGGATTTGTTTGATCCATTTCATAGGCAGGCTTCCCCACAGTTGTGTGAAAGAATTAGCGAATCGTTACATAGTACGCATGTCTGCACAGTCACTCAATTCAATGTTTGATCGCAATTTCTATAACCTCCGAGAACACCAACGATAATATTATTAAGCTATAAAGAGTGATATAAACATATATAAAACTTACCGGAGTGAAAATGTCTGGAGCACACCAACAGATATCTGGAGATGGAAGTGAACTGGATATCAGCTGAACTCACGGCTGCTATTCAGGCTAGACACCTTCGTTTTGTAAGGTC